TGAAATAGATATTTAAAGGCATGTAGAAACAAAGTTACTCTAAGAGCTGACAAATGCCTGAATTTTATATTTGAAGATAAAGTTATTAAGCAAAGAAACACTGTGAATGTTGAAACACACAAGCAGGATTTTGTCATTTGACAACTAATCTTTTTTTACTTAGTCAGTACATGCTGTTTTGCACAACAGGTTTCAAAATCTTGTTTTCTATGTAGCTATTAGTTCCTTCAAAGTAGCCATGAACATTTGGAAGCCCTTTGAAGCTCCACAGAAAATCTTCCAGGTTTGAACTCCCTAGTACCAGGATGAGATGGGGCAGATTCCTGGACAACTACAATTAGCAGGTAGAACTCCTGATGCAGTTCCAGGATATGTGCATACAAACCTTCCCTAAAATCTTTTAAGAAAGCCAACATTCAGAAGTGCAATTACTTTTGGGGTTTTATGTGCTACTTTTCTTAACATTTCACTGTGTTGTTTTTTTTTTCAAATCTTCCCCCTGAAAGGACACAGCTGACTGACAAAGCTCATGTTTTCCAGCACAGATAAGAAGAAGAGGAAACAGAAATAATTGATATAACTAAGGACACTGTAATTCTCCATGCAAGGTTTTTGCCACAAAATATATTGTTGTATTTCTTCCTTCCTTGCTGTATGTGAACAGCAGCAAGCCAGCTTGTCTATTAAAGAGCATCTCTGACAGTTACCAGCAATAAACTCATTTGCACAACATTTTGAAAGACAATGACTTGGAAAAGCTTGAATCCCTGAGATGTTTCTCAACCAAGTCCAGGTCCTGCCTGCTGCTGAGCTAGTGACAGCTGAAGACAGCCCATCATCCACTCTGACACATAAAATTGGCTTCTAACAAGACTTCAGAGTGAAGCAGGTAGATGAGAAGAGTTGTACAAAATACAAGAACTTGCAAATTCATTTGGATAATTCTTTGATGGAAAATACACAGATGTAAATTTGTAGTGACCACAGTATTTTCACTTCTACTGACACAGAAAGGCTGTGCTAAATACTTGATACTGACTTCAGACACCATCCCAGATTGAATTTTCAAGAAATACAAATAATGCTTAACCTGCAGTCATAAACCAAGGCACAGGCAGCTTTACAAGAGTATAGAAATTCACAAAGTTGGTTTTTATTCTTGTATTACAGGATTAAAACTTGTATTTCAAGTCTTAAAACAAGAATGGAAAGCAGTCAAAAATATTGGAGGATATCCAGTTTGCAGAACCACAAGCATGGAACCACCTGGATTCAGCTGTAATCCCAACCAAGCTCTACAAATATTCAAGTTAAAAAATACTTTATAAAAAAGAGCACATCCTGTAGGTAACTGCTAGTGCTAACTGCTTACCTCATTAAAGCATAATTTACTCTATTGTTGTTGAAGGTAAACTCCTCAAAACTGTGCAGATATAAAAAGAGACTGTGGACACTTCGGGATCAGTCCTCAGATAGAAACCTGTCTCCAGACAGCTCACCTGGGCTGTTCTGTATCTTGCTTTGAAATAATACAAGAAAAGTTGTTAGATATCAATACCCAAAGGTAAAGCACACCAACCCTCCTAGTAACAACTGACCTACTTTCTAAGTTCTAATTTAATATTGGTAATAGGTCCAGTACCAGAGTTCATTTGCTCTAGCAAATGAAATATCTCTGCCTGAAGATTTTATATAGGAAAAATTCAAGCCACAAAAAAAATGCAAACAGACCCAAACCACACCACCTTATATACTCAGGAATAGATTAAAATACAAATTCTTCTGTTAGTTTTCTTGGTGCTAGACTTTTTGAGCAGAGCCATGGTTTTACCCCACCTCACGTCCTACAGTTCATAAATGGTGAAATATCAACACATTAAGGTATCTAGTTGCCAGATACAAATCACATTTACTCATTCTTACCACTATAACATGCTGAGTATTAGAACAATGGCTTTCTAGGAAGCAAAACATGTGGGAATGATCACTACTAATAACCAGCTGGGAACACAATCAATTTTATGCCTGTAAGAATTAAATACTGTTGGATTGAAATTGGATTTGCTGTATTCAAAAATAAAAAATTAAGGCTCCTGCACTTCTTGCTAAATTCTACACATTGTTCTGAGATATCTAAACATTTGGTTCAAGAAAGATTATAGTTGCAGCAATCACTGAAAAAACAAGATGACTAACACTTAACAAAACCAAAATTTTGTCCCCATTCTACCTTTCCCACCTCGCTTATCTTATCAGAGTCTGAAAAATAGTACTCTAATTTAGACACTTCCAGCTTGCAAAATATAGACCAAGAAATGCTGAGCAATAACATTTTCAGTGACAACAATCCTGTTACTCAATTAATATAAACTAGTCAGCAAAGGTTAGATCAGAAGTGACTAGTGGAAAGGATTTCACAGGAATACAAGTACCTACCCATGTTTAAAATCGTGATCTTGAGAAACTTTTGCTCAACTGCCTCACCAAAGGCACTTCCCTGGTTTGAACTGAAAAGTTCTCAACTTGTCTCCAGTTGCATCTTTGAATGTGTCCAGGGGCATTTTAGTCCTAACAAAAATTAGCTGCTGAGCATCTAGAGCTTAACCAAGTTCACACCATAAAGAGAGACCAAGCATTCTTCTGCCCAGCATAGCTCAGAAGTTTTTAACTAAAGTAACTATAAGCATGAACCGGCAAGTTTTGATTTGTCGATATTCTCACCCACTCTTATGCACAGAAGTTCTCAGGAAGCAACCAAAGCACAACAAATGCACAGGACACCACTGAAGGGGATCACTCCTTCCTATATCACTGCCAAGTGATTACAACTGTCACCCTGCAAGTGCAAGACTGAGGTTCAAACCTTCCTGTCTGAGAGTTCATACCACTTAGTGTTGCTGAAGAGCACTGTCATTTCCAGATCAATTATCCCATAAACTTGACTTCATTGTATTCCCCTCCCAATAGTGTTGATCTACCTCTTCAGAGCTCAAGACTAATCTAGAAGATGGTCACAGAGATCTGAGGGTCAGAGTCTAGAGACTGTCTTAACTCAGTGCCTATTTTAACATAAAACTAAATAGCCGTTTAAAACAAAGGCAGCTCTTACTTGGTTCTCAATCAGTATTGAGCACATACATTCCAGAGATGATTTAAAAGGAAAGCTGCTTCTTAACAGGCCTGATGAGGTCTGAGATGTTTACAGCAGTCCCTCTCATCAGTACTTTCCCACTGCCTAACCCCTGTAAGGCCATTACAAGCTGCACATTAAATGCACCAACACTGGGCTTCCGAAGTGCACACCTTGGTTTGGATCGTCTTCCTGAAGTAACTCTCCCCAGGAAAAGTCTTAGACACTCTTCAGGTTATTCAAATTAGATCTAATAGAAGATCTAAGTATAAGACTTTAAACTCAGTATCCAACTTATTGCACTGCAGGCAATTTCTAGTTATCTTGTTTCTGACTTAGCATATTGATTAAGTACATATTCTATACTGTCCTGGTTTGAGCCAGGATAAAGCCAATTTTTCTTTTTACTGATTTTTTTTTCCTTCAATAAGCTTTCTTTTAACTAGCAACAGTGTGTTCTGCTAGGCTGATAAGACAGTGGAATGTTTTTCTAACTACTGAGGCTTCAAGGTCGCACCTTCACTCTGCCAGATCAGACACTATGGGGAGATCTGTGACCCCCCCGTAGGAGGCTGAGTTAGACAGACAGCAAAATTGGCCAAAGATATTCCATTCCATATATCTACGTAAGCTCAAAGGAAGGTCAGAGAACACAGAAGACAACTTCCTTCCTTCTTTCTTCTTCTCCCTCTCTCTTCCGTCCATGGCCGGTGTCCAGGGAGGACTCTGTTCATCCATCACCGTCGATCCTCAGGCTTGATCTCTCCTGACCCCCATAACTCTCTGCTCTTTTCCAGCAGCAGCTCCAGGATTCCTCGGGACTCTTCCCAGTTCAGGGAAGTGCTGTGGGAGTTGCTGGGGTGGGGGGAGGCGAGAGGCTTTTGCCCATTCCTGAATATATTTGTACATAATTGTATATATTTTCTTGTATCATTCATTAGTGTTTTAATTAAAGCTGTGTAGTTTAGTTTTCAATCCAGCCAAGTCTCTCTCTTTTTCTCTCTCTCGTTCCCTACCTGGGTTGGGGGGAGGGGGGATCGAGAGCATTGTTGTCGGACCTGAGTCAAACTGTGACATATACTTACATAAAATATGTATGGGATGCAAGGAATTCCTTTGGAATTCCACTTTTCCATTACATAAGCCTGGTTTTAGATATAATGCTCTACTAAAATATTCTATAGTTAGGCAATAGATGCATTAGTCCCACATCTACCTTTCCTTTTAATTAAAGGAATAAACCCTAAAATATTAAGAAAAACTAAGCTCAATTTCTAATGAAATTGTAACACTGCTGATTAAATGAGGTAAACAGTAAAAGCTAAAAAAAGCACAGCCTAGACATCAGTGAAGCACTTCAGCCAAGAAAAGCAGAGCCTGGATTATTGTGACTGTGGTAGAGCACATCTGAATGTCCACTTAGAGCATCACCGAAACTGTCCCAAACTAAAATACTTTCTTTAGCTCAATCTCTAAGCAAACAAGTGTTGCATTAACTGCATTGTAGTCCATAAATCTCTGCCGATCTGGTAATTACATTAAGTATAACTGACAATACTTTAAGTATCACAGATTGTTCATAAGCTTTCACATTAGTCATTTATTATCAAATTTTGATTACCTAACAATTAATCCTTAGATAAATGCAATGACATACATACCATGAGTAAACCCAGGACCCTAAGGTCGTACAATGAATACAACTGCAGATTTTTAAGGTGTCAACCAAAAACATATTCATCCTGTTTCAGCTTAAATACACTGACAGATGCAAGAGGCACAAGCTTTGGAAGTCATTAATCTCAGAGAAAAGTTCTCCAGGGTACTAGTTTAAAAAAAAAAATAAAAATCACTAGAACACTTCTTTGCATCATTGGGGATTCAGGTTCTTACTGATCTTCTCAATATGGTTCAGTAGTTTCAACAATGCAGATGGATTATATGGGAAAAGATTTCTTCTCTGCAATCTAGAAATAGCTTCTTGCAGTTCTTCCAAACATTTTGTTGATTTGTAAAGCATTATTCTTAGGGGAGTCATGTTATCTGAAGACACCACACAAGTCAAACAGGATGAAGTATGAGATGTCTTTTGCTTCAGAGGCAACAGCTCAGACTTGATTGTATTCCTTTTATTGTCTGTGTAGCTGCAACCAGCTTCCCTCCTCCTTGCTTCACCCTGATTATTTAAAGGCACCTGTTTTGTGTTTACCAAGCACTTCTCTCCATCTGATTCGAATTCAGAGTCTTCTGAGCAGTCATAATTAACAAGGCTTTGAAGAGATCCCGGCAGAGAAGTATTATCAGTGCATATCAATGAGTTAGACTGGTTAGACTCTGCAACTTCATTATCACCTTGTTCTATTCTAAACACTAAGCAATTCTGAGAAGGAGCCAAAGATTCCAGAGTCTGTGGTTCTTGTTCACATGCATTCTGCAAACTCTCACCAGTCACACAGCTTTGTTTTTCTTGATATCTTGGCTTGACAGAAAGAATTGATTGAGATGTGCCATGCTTGGTATCAAAACGGTCACAGACATTTACAAACTGCTGCCAGTCTTTTCTAAGAAGCTTTAAGTACCTCACCAAGTACTCCAGAAAGCAAGTTTCTGAGGAAATTAAAAAATCTAGAAGTACTGTGGAATCAAATGCAATTTTTTCTAGAAAAAACAAAAAGATACAGTGAGGATTATATCCACCTTCATGTGTAAGGAAGCTCCAGGTTTCTTCTGTTTGTCTTAAGTTACCAGCAACATCGTGCTGTAACCTGAAAAATAAGTCATGAAATGGATTAAGTTCAGTGGAAGTTTAAAGGGTTTTTAAAAACCAGTCCAGAAAATTGTATTCTTGCTCTTACTTTAAAAAGTAAAAACTAAAAGTTTTTATATTAGAATGAGAAAGAATAAAGGGATGTGGGGCCAGGAGATCAGTTAGTTTCAGAAGCCAAAGCACTTAAACCAGGCCTCCTTGAACAGAACTCCTCCTCAGAAAACATTCTGGAACAAACAAAATTGCTGACAATACATGAACTGGTTTTTAATATTTTTGCAAACCTGAACACAGATGAACTTCCAGAATGCTAAGCACATTGGAAAAGAGCAGCCAACTTTTATTTCGGTGTCCAAGAAGAATTGTGTGTATCTAAGGAACTACTTGTGATGCCTTCACATTGGAAGCTTGTGAGACTTTTTATAACTTAGGAATCTTGTATTCACAATGAAGCACTGAATGTCCAGGACAGGTTATTAAAGAACACACTTCAGCAACGACAGGTTTTACCACCTAGCTCACATTAACATGGATCCAATCCTTATGGGGCTATTTTGTCAGAAGTCTCTGAATTCTTGAAACTTAATTATAATATCCCATTCTTGTCAAACTCTCAGTGATGAAAGAAAACAGTTTTGCCTTTTATCTGTGTCTAACCACTATTTTAGACTGTGAAGTCTATTCTTCTGAATCACAGGATAAAGTATTCAATATGAAACTGTTGCACAACTCCCTCATTTCAATCCACAAAACACTTGATCAAATTATTAGCAAAGTTAACTGCTCTTAAATCACACATTATTACAATGTCCTGAGGTTTTGGTTTTTTTTAATTATTAAATATATTTTTTCTTTATACCAAACTCAGCAATAGAAATTTTATGTAAATCACAATAACCTCATTAAATTACATTTCTTCATTGTTCTGTCAAATGAAATGCACACTAACCTGTTAATATTTAAATAAATGAGTAGCAAAGCTTTAGCTGCTTCCCACATATCATCATCTTGCTCTATGAAAACCAAGGAGAGCCATTCACAGTGATGTACAACAGGGTGAGACTGTGGGAAAGACTTCAGATGACTTCTCCAGAACACCAACAGATGGGACATGGAACTCTGAAAGTCTCCTGAAAATAAAAACAAACACAGGTGACCATGAACTTTGTTATACATTTTTTTGTAATTGTTTTTTAAATTAACAGTGCATAGCAGTTTACGAATGGAGGTATAATTACTTTTCTCCACTGATTTTTGGTACCAAAGAAATCAAGAAATATTTTGCAGAAACCCATAAGCACTTACCTAACCTTAAATTCAATGTCAATGCCTATAATATTGAACTCTAAACATGTCAATGTTAAGTAACCTGCAGAAAACTAATTTCCTCATTAGACAGAGGACTTCCCCTGCCAGACAGGTAAAATCTAAGGATAATCCAGTCACCTAACAGCATTCTTTATTTTCTTGGAGCTCAAGGAAGAATAATCACAAGCGACCTAGAAATTTTGGGTACACCAAGACAAATGCCCTCACACCTCAATTTGCAGACTAATGAACCATATTACACCACCAAAATTTGCATGTATCAGGAACCTTACAAAAATGTGCCTATACCTACACAGCACGGATTTATACTTCCCTTTTGCTCCCCAATTAAGTAGCTTCATTGGTACAACAAAAACCAAAGAAAGGTGAATTGTCGTCAAGCCAATGGCATCAAATCAAGGTCTTCCCATATGAAATAATAATGGAATTGCAATGTTTTGATGGGATAGAAGCTAAACACCCCACCAGTGTGATTCACTGTAGAAATTAACTGCAGTGATCTCAAGTTGACTGAAATAATTTGTCATTTCTACAATAACACAAAGTAAGAAGCTTCCAGTATACCTATTTTCTTTATTAAATAAATTCTTCGTGGATGATGTTTTCAAGTACACAGAGACTTGGAATAAAGGTACCTTCATGAGCTGGCCTCAAAACCTTGCTGAAAGGATTAACATAAGCAGTGTTTTTCCTGCAAATATTACAAACACTGCATGGGATCCATTTTCCTGGATGGGAAAAACACCTCCAAAATAATGCCATTTTTGTGCAGTAAAAAAAGAAAAAAAAAAGGTTCTTAAATACTAATGACATAATATACTACATGCTATGTGCAAGTAGTATATACTATGTAGTGTGGCATTGGTACCAGTTTTTCATGTAATGCTGCATACATCCCATGTTCAGGAAGCAAGAGAGATGTAGTGACATCTCTTTACCCCAGAGGTACTCCTTCAGTAAGAACTCTAATGCTCCTGGAAGTACACTATGACTTGAGAAGCACAGTTGAATCCTTTATATAAACAGTGATCATTGCTTTTGAAAAATTTCCTGCAACAGGGGGATCCATTTTACTTACTAAACCCTCTTTATGTGGTTTTCTTTAATATTTGACTATAAAATTGGCTTTTCCTCTTTGCAAATAAGAGGAACAGCGAATTGTCTTTGTTATTAATAGTTACTATTCAGACTGAAATTCCTTCCTAGAAATCAAAGCTATTTGGAAATGGCTCTCAAAAGTTAAATTAATTTAAGCCACTGTATTTCATGTTAATAAAAAAATATAAGATCAAATAGTTTCCTGGAAGGGAAGTTAGCATATTAAAGCACTTTGGTGCTTGTTTTAACCACTTAATGTCACTAAAATAAAAGCATAATTGCTTTCAACTTAAACTTCCTCTTGACAGTTGGGGTAGTTGAATCTCATTAAAGAAGTCATTTTTGTCATGATTCTAGAAAAGAAAGGGGATTGTTTTTCTTCAAGAAAGCATTTTCATAGTAACTTCTAAAATAGATTTAACCTGCATGTTTTCTGTTCACTTGTTCTTAGACAATCCCAGTCTCTATACATTTTTCAGAAGGTTCATCAGAAGAAAACTATTCTCTACAATACTTAAAAAACTCTAATGCAACTGGCATCACAAAGTGTCAGATTCTGTCTTAAAGACTGGTTTGGGTTGGAAGGTACTTTAAAGATCACATACCCCACACTGAATGGACAGTGACAACTCCCACTAGATCAAGTTGCTCCGAGCCCCATCCAACCTGGCCTTGAACACTTCCAGGGATGGGGCAGCCACAGCTTCTCTGGGCAACCTGGGCCAGTGTCCCACCACCCTCATAATGAATAATTTCTTCCTAATATCCAATCTAAATCTCCCCTCTTTCAGTTTGAAACCATTACCCCTCATCCTATCACTACACACTCTGGTAGAAAGTCCCTCTCCAGTTTTCCTGCAGGCCACCTTCAGGTACTCTCAGGTCTCTCCAGAGCCTTCTCCCTTACAGGCTGAACAGCCCCAACTCTCTCAGCCCATCTTCATAGGAGAGCTGCTCCAGCCCTCTCATTATCTTTGTGGTGTCCTCTGGACTTGCTTCAAGAGCAAGTGTCCTTGTGCTGGGGACTCCAGACCTAGACACAGCACTGCAGGGGGACCTCACAAGAGCAGAGCAGAGGGGGAAGAGACTGCTCCCTTGACCTGCTGGTAATGCTGCTTTTGATGCAGCCCAGGACATCCTTGGCTTTCTGAATTGCAAGGACACATTGTCAGGTCATGGTGAGCTTCTCATCAACCAACACCCCTAAGTCCTTCTCCTCAAGGCTGTTCTCAAGCTATTTGCTGCCCAGCTTCTCTTTGTGCTTGGGATTGTCCCACTTGGGGCCTTACTGAACTTCAAGAACCACAGAATCACAGATGATGTGCATCATGTGGCTCTCAGAAGTTAAAAAGTGGGAAGATGGCATTCCAGGAACAGCTCTCAGGCAAAATGCCTCATGCCACCTCCTCACTATAGTATAGGAGAAACTACTAACTGGCTACCAGCATGATATGGCAATGCATCCTCCCCCATCAGGCATGCAAGTTCCACAGCATTCCCTTGTCATCCCACTGCCTGCCCTGTGGCACTGCCCTAGCGCAAGAGCCGGGTCTGCTCTTTTACTTGTATGATTCATCTGTTCAACAGAGCAAACACATTCAAGTGAGCAGGAGTGAGAAGTATGCCCAACACCTCCTAATTCAAAGGACTAGACTTGTTAAGCTAAGATGAAGAATACAACAACTATACTCTGCAAACTCCCACAATTTTCCTGTCTCTAACTTTACAATTTCATTATTTTTGCCATTTCTTCTACTGCTGGTTTTGCCCTATGACATTATTTATCTGACAATAATGTCTATGTACTTACCTTGTTTGAAGGCACTAAAGGTCTACCTCCACATCAGAAAACAGAAGTGCTACCTGCAGCTCCTTTTAGTTACACACCCTGAACAGAGTGGATGCTTGTGCTATGGGCTTGCTTTTCCAACTGGAGAAAACCCAAGTAGGCTCAACTATTTCTACTATTAACACATGCTCTTCATAGGAAAAGTTTTCAATACCAAATGCAGCTGTTTCAAGCCCCCTACATTGCTGGGCTAAGGAGAGGATAAAATTCAAGCAGATAGCTAATTAGATAGGACACAGTGATAGCAGGTTTCTTGGGTGGGTCTTCTCTTTCCTCCCTCCTGCCACCACTGACTCAGCTGAATTCTATTTGCAAACTTAATGAGCTGTGACTACAAAATCAGAAAGATTTTAAACTCTCGCTGCTTAATGTATCCAGTCTTGCTGCTTTATTGTGTCCAGTTCTGGACTCCCCAGTTCAAGAGGGACAGGAACTTACTTGAGAAAGTCCAACAGAGGCTACTAGGATGATGAAGGGACTGGAACACCTCCTCCTCTGATGAGGAAAGGCTGAGAGACCTGGGGCTGTTTAATTTAGAGAAGACTGAGAGGGGATCTTATTAATGTCCATAAACAGCTGAAGAGCATCAAGAAAGAGGGGCCAATCTCTTTTCAGTTGTGCCCTGTGACAGGACAAGGGGCAATGGATACAAACTAGAACACAGTAAGTTCTACATCAACATGAGGAAAAACTTCTTCACTGTGAGGGTGATGCAGCACTGGGACAGGCTGCCCAGAGAGGTTGTGGAGTCTCCTTCTCTGGAGACTTTCAAGACCCATCTGGATGCGTTTCTGTGTGACCTGCCCCAGGTGATCCTGCTCTGGCAGGGGGGTTGGACTCAATCTCCTGTGGTCCCTTCCAACCCTGACCATTCTGTGATCCTGCAATTCTCTAATGAACAAAAGAAAACAAAAACTATTACCTTTGATTTCAGCTTCTGCAGCAGAGTTCTGAAACTTGAATTCCAGTGCTTTAAGCACAACCAGACTTAAGGCTCTGAGAACAGTTTGGTCGGACCCACCCTGAGCATCACCTCCAGGAGAAGCATCCCCGCCCCCGAAGCAGCTGGTCCTTCCACCCAGTGGGATCTGATTGAGCCAAGTCAAATTCATCACTTCCAGAACAGCATTACTCAGCTCCAGCATATCTTCATGTAAAGGTGGGTTTTGCGAGAGCAGTGATCCACTTTTAGCATCTTCTCTAGACTTGTAAAGGACACATTTTTTAAGGAGCATAATGAACTTCTTCTTGATTAAATAGTGAACTGATGAGCTAATGAGGTTCAGAACATAAGAAATTTTCAAAAACAATACTCTCTGGCATCTAAGAGGTATTTCTAATTCAATTCTGGAAGCCAAAAGTTCTTCAAGCAGATCTACAAAACTGATCAAATTGTTTGCAGCTTCAGAATAAGGTGAAGTATAGTGGTGACTGTCAAAACGATGGAACAGAATGGAATTAAAAAATCCTTCAAGGACAGCATCAAGAGGAGCCAACAACTTCTGCAAAATACCTACAGCAACAAGAAAAGGTTACAGGGCTGATGTGTAACAGTCACCTAAATCATCAAAGAAGCAGAAAGCAGGTGATTGTGACTGTTCTCAGTTTTAAAGCACGTTTAAACCACAACATTTTTAACAGTACTTTGTCAACCTCGTTATAAGGAAAAAAAAAATAGGTGTTCCTCAGACAAGTCATTCTAGATGAGATTACAAGTAACATTCCTCCCCCTAGTGGGTACTCGTATATCGATACCACCACAACATTTCTACAGTACCTGCTTTGGGTAAAACTTGGTCTTTCAGTATGTCCTTGATAATAGTTGTAAGAGTCCACAGACATCCTGCTACCCAGGCTTTTACAGGGAATTCTGAAAGAGTCTTCAAACTAAAGTCGAGCCAGGTGACATTTAAGGTGTTCTAAGAAAATGAGTTAAAACAACAATCACATGTTCTTTACAATTGGTCTGCAAATTAAATAATAATATAATGATTTATAATTGCACATCCAGAAGATTCAAGTGTAGGTATAGACTAAACACAAGTAGGAACAATATATTTGTCCAGTGCCTTTAAGTATATAGGCCTCTACTTATAAACATGAAGTCACACATGCAAGCAGCAGAAATTATCTGTAATTCACTAACTCATTTTTTTAGCTGTGAACAGTGATGCTATACTCACCTCTTCCTTCAGCTGGAAATACACAAGAGATGCTAAACTTTTCGAAGCCATATGAGATAACAGCTGATCACAGCTACAGAGCAGGCAAATCTGCAGGTGTATAGAAAGAAAAAGTATCTAAGACATGATCCTTTATTTTGTTCCTCCTTTCACAAATGTCTTTCCAAAGTTTATAGAAACTTACCAATTTTGAGTTGATTTTTCCCTCATTCAGAAGGAGGATAAAGATTTCACAGTACTTCTGCCTCATACTGAATTCAATTTCCTGGGAATCTGCTTTATCAACCATCATCTTGATCAAGGTTAATTGAAGCAGCATCACTTCTCGTGGACAGAATGAGGGGTTCATGTTTGCAAAGCTATGTGATATATCATCTGCTGTAGGGACAGCCACTTCTGACATGTCAGTTTCCTGGTGGCTCCTAAGAACATCACTAGTAGATGGCAGATGCATTGGAGGACATACTTCATCTCCTGCTGGTGACAGCTCAACACACAGATCAAGTAAAGAGCTATAATGATGGCTTTCCTTTGCTAGTGGAATGCCTACCAGTACATCCTTATACATCTGCTGCAGAAGAGAAATCTTCATTGTGAGAACATTCAATGCTCAAAAAAAAGCTGTATGTCTTCAGTGACTATCCTTGGTCGCTGCAAATCAGCTTTGAAGTGATTTTTTTTCCAGTAAGAGAAATGAAATTAGGCATTTGTCTTCTAAGTTACCTAAAAACAAATATTTTGCTATTACTGAACAGATAACTAGAAAGATACAAAAAAAACCAACACATTTTTAGAGTTAATACTACCATTATTAAATTTATTTAAAAACCAAGTCACTGTTCAAAAAAAGTATAGTTGCACAGAACTGTTCCAGTGAGACATTAACATGATAAAAGAATTATTATGCCATTAAGAAGTTTACATTTCCAGCATTGTACCACTGACATTAACATTAACTTGCTCAACTAACAAAACCAAAGCTGACTGTTATTAGAATCTACTTCTGAAGGACACAAACTTGATTCGAATCTTTCTCTACATTTTCAGAACTACTAAAGTCTCATTTCTTTTGTTACATATTCCTCTAAAAACAGGCACAAAATTTCACCTGCACATTTTCATCTGAACTGGCAACATTTATTGCTCCACTAAGGCTGGACACAGCAACACCTCTCAAAAAAAAGGAAACCAAAGGACAAAACTTGCCTTCTGCTGCACAAGGGCTCAAGGTGAGCAGTGTGAATATATAGGAGGGGAGAACTGGGCTCTTAATAAGGAGGTCAAAATAATTCCTTTATGTGCACAATTCTTAGTCTAAGGACCGACATGTTGAAACTCAAAACAGTTTTCAGAAAACACAAAGGATCAACAACACCACAGGGCTGGTCTCAAGGGCCCAGAGACTGAGAAGTTTAAAATTTAAAAAAGTAAGTTTACACTTTTTAAGTATTAAGAGCTAATAAAAATAAATACTTAACCATACTCAGGACATCTATAAAAAAATAAATACATCTTCATGACCATATTGATGGAACAACTTTCAATCACAACACTGGAACATTCACTATGGCTTGGAAAGTGGAGCTATTAAGGATTCAAATCGTTTTAAAGTGTGAGCACCTGAACACCCACAAACCTTGTAACCACTGTGGAGCTGGCTAGACAGGTATTTTATCTCTCCAGAAAATAAGTAGGATATACTTAAGAATATCAGAGCTTCTTATTCATCCATCAGTGAGGTTAGTTTGTAATATTAATCTTTTTTTGGTCAGATTTAACATGTTGTCTAACCAGAACTCTTTTAATTAAAGAAAACCCAAACAAACTCATTAGCTTTATCTACTGTGATAATAGAAGTGGGACTTATGTTCTTTAAGGAATTTTCTTTACACATGCTTTAGGTCTGGCATAATCAGCCACACAGACTTCCAGGTAGACTCCTGAACTCATCTGTCTGTAGTTGGCTTTTATTTAACTCTTACATTTCCCCTTTCTTACCAATAGAAGAAAACAGCTCAGTCTTCCAGCTGGTAAGAAATTCTAAAGATCATCTACATACCAGTTGCACTGTCATTTATCACCACATCAAATATTTTCAATTATTATTCCTTTTTAGGAGATTTAGAAAACAATGAAACTATAAAATTCCGTACATAAGGCATTTTTTGTTTGGTTTATAATCTTTACAAGTTTTTAAAACACTATCAAACACTAAGAATTACACCTTATTTTTACAATTAAAGTGCTACTGAAGTATGCATTGACAAAATGGCTCCCAAAGCCACAAAGGTTTAGGGGTAGCCCAATACCAAGAGTCCTCATTTTTTCCAACACTGGGCAGTATTTCCTTCAGAAGAGAATCTAAAATTAGAGAATAAGAAGATGCCTGCAGGGAGTGATCTGCAGTTCACTTTAGTGTGGTATTTTTAAGAATTCAGCACTGGCTGACCTGGCAACTCCAAAATGTCACAGTATGTTCCTCACCTAACTCCTACCTGATGGAGCTAAGAACCTTCTTCCCCCATCCTTTCCCTTCTACATTTTCAATGCTAAGAATAAATCTGATGCTTCAGACAGTAAATTCCTCCTTCATTTTCAGAATCTATTTGGAATTCCACTCAAGGTGGAAATTTATGACCTGAAACCTCATAGCATTTATTCAGAAATCACTGAATATTTTATATGGCTATTGTTCCTATCTTTGAGTTTAATTTCTTCCTGAATTAATACCTAATAAAGTAAAATTATCTCAACACATTTACTTGTATTCAAGATCAACTTGAACTATCATCCTAGGTGGGAAATGAACAGATCTCTCATGCAGAAATTCATAAAATATAGCACAGTTTTTAAGGCAGAAGAGATTTAGAACTCCTCTGGGACATGAACTAGGGGCCTTTACCTTCACCACAAGATATTGGTTGTGCTTCCCCTGATCCTACCATACCACATTTAAATTATACCATTAATTTGCAGAAGAATTTATAAAAACATTTGTCTCACATGTGATGACCATAAGTAGAAGTCCTTAAAGGAAATGAAATGTGAGGGGACTTAATTTATAAGAAATTTACTTCAAAGAAGGGGGAAAAATGTCAGACAATGACTACATTTGTTTCAGACATGGTATGAGAGCACAGTGAAAAGCTCAAACCTGAAGAGTAAAGAAAAGCAATCATCTTCATACACAAGAAATGACAAACTTCATCCCTTAACTGTATTGTTTATTTATTTCTGACAGCATCAAAAAACAAATTAAGGTAATGCCTCACAGAGCCAGCTTTCTGAATAAAAAATAGGAAACAGTTCTAAAAACCTTTATAGAGAGACTGACCAGGGACAAAAGACAGAAAGAAAAACCATTAAAAAAAAATCACAAGTTTCCATGACCACTTTAGTTAGGCTTTGAAATCAAAACTACAGTCAGGTGGAGCTGCAAACAGAATGAGAGAAGAAACATGATGGAAAAGGAGACAAAGAGCTGGAGATGAAAACTCAGATGGCAGCTGAAGCCTGTAAGGTTTAAGGACCAAGAAAGTGAATGCCTCCAGAATATCCTAAATCAAAGGACATTTCTATGCGTATTTTTACAAAGTGAGATTCTTAATTTAGCACAAAGATGTTGACAGCATTGATTCAACTGCACTAACGTTGCTGAGATCACATTTTACTTTAAATAACACAAATGTCTTACAGTGACACACAGTTACTCAGAGAAATTAGTGAAGAGGCATGATTAGAAAAAGCTATTGGAAAGCCCATGTATTGGTCTTTCCCTGTCCTATGTACACTATTAAACGTTAATTGCATATGTAGCAACTGGGAGAAAACAAACTAACCAAAAAAACCTATTTTCATTTAAAAACTTAATCAGACAAAAGCAAAATTAAACCCCAGTCAGGCAGTTTTGGGTATGAATCTGAAATATCTGCATCTCCTTAAATGCAATGCTTGAATCATTTAAGAAATAGACTTTGGGCTACTGGTACCTGCAACGACTTCATAGGCTCATCCCTCTATAAAGAATGTAATTCTGATAAGTGGTGAAACACTGTAAACCGCTCTAAAATAATGTCCTTCGAGATGTCGCACATCCCCCCTGCCGCAAGGTGCCCCTTCCCCCCCGCTGGTACCTTCACCCCTAAGCGCGCCAGGCGCTCGCTCTGCCCTTCTGCAGGCACCTTCGGACAGCAGAGACGGGCCCAGACAGACCCCACCCGACCCCGAGGCCCCCGCTGTGCCTCAGACCCGCGGTTACAAACACCAGCTCGGGGTCACCGGCAGCAAGGCCTGGCTAAAGGCGCCCGTTCCCTCCCGGCCTCCTCACCCTCCTCCAGGAGGCCCCACCAGCCTGCACGACCCCCGCTCTCCGCCATGAAGGCCTCCGCGCCTCCTCCGCGCCCTCCTACCCCCCAGGCCGGCTCCGGGACCCCTGGGCCCGCCTCAGCCACCCCTCTACTCGCCTCAGCCATGACCCCTCTGGGGCTGCACCGACCCCCCCGCC